AATCAAAGATTGCAAATAAAAGGAAAAAAAATAATATTCTTTGAAGCTAAATAATATTCTTAGAAGCATCTGTTTTTCCCCAAAATTAAATTATTAAAATAATAATTAAGAATTAAATAAAATCAAGAATTTTTTAAATCAGAAAAATAATTCACCTGGATTTTTATAATGCGATCAAACAGTTATGTACACAACAGATTGTTAATCACGAATTTGTTAAAAGTTTTACAAAATATGAAATAGGTAATAAAACAAATTCCAAAGTTGGGCTTCCAGATGCCCATATTTGGGTGGAGACTTACTTTATTCAAAATTTGAAGGCTCTAGGTACCATTGTTTTATCACAATTCGAGAAACGTACATACATTTATGCAGATTCTTCATTATTTAATTTCTTTAAATGTAATAGAGGGCTCTTATACAGTACAAAGTCGGTAATCCGAACTCGTTGGGACTTCGGTGATTCAGGATTAGGTTTTCCGTATTATAGATCATCAATTTAAATCTGATAAGATGGCATGCAGAAATTATACAATTAAACATATGAAACTGTAATTTATGAAATAAAGAGCAATTATGATCTAAAGGGTATCAAAATTTACAAAAAAAAAAAAAAAAAAAAAAAAAAAAAAGCTTAATATTTATTTGTTTACTTTATTAAACATTTCTTTCAATTTAAGTTGCTGTAATGTAAGTTGTTTCTTTAATTCTATAAACAGACATAATTTCTTGTTCAGTTACAAAGTTCCGCTGTTCAAGTCTTGTAATTGCTGTGTCGAGAATACTGACTAACTTGTCAATTGAATGTCGGAATACACAAAAAATTGAAAAAGTTCCTTTTTCTTTTTGCTTATGTCATATACAGCTGACCTTCCAGTGTCTGTATTTTGAGATGAATGTGCCTTTATCCATTTTTTGGAGCAATTCCACTTTTTGTTTGATGGACATCGAAACATGCTTTCGCTTTGTAGATCCTTTGGCAGCTCCAGAATTGGAAACTCTTTTTGACATAATCGAAAGTTCAAGCTTAATTTTTATAAAATTTCTCTAACAGTCTGCAAAAAATAATAAGCTGGATCCAATTAGGAGATTAAGGAACAGCACAATTTGACTAATTTACTTACACTAATTTCTTCTTGTTTGTTGAAATATATGCACAATTCTCGATTTTTTGCACCTTTAACTTTTCTTAATTGCATTTTTTAATAATTTTTTATTTCTTAGTCATATTTCTTATTTTGTTCTTTATTTTTGTTCAGTTATCTCTTTTTTTAAAGTAAATTGAGTGAGAAAGGTACATGGAACAATCGTCTTTTTATTGCTTTTAATTTGCTTTGTAATGCAAACAACATCAAAGCATCTGTTTACATTTGGTATGATGTTGTACTTTGGTGCAGAAGTTTGGATTTCTTTAGTCAGAAACAGACCATTATCTTCTAATCCAGATTATCAAGTTTGTTCTATAGGGTTAATGTTTTTTGAGAGTTCAAGCAATCCGAAAAGAATGTGATGACCTGTTTATGACAGGTTCTGAAAGAAGCATTCTTACAGTTTTCCCAGGAAAGACAGGAGTGTTGGATTAGGTGCGAGTGTAATTTGATTTATTTTGCTAACTAAACTAGATAACTAAATAACATTCTTTTATTTTTAAAATAAAGTTGCCCTGCAAGCATTTTCCACACATATTGAATACAGAAGTATATTTTGGCATATAAAGCCTTTTTACATATGTTGTTTATACAGTACAATATCCACATTCCGCAGGACTTCAGCAATTCTGCGTTTTAGAAATTTCCAGATTTTAGATCATTAACTTAAATCTAGTAAATGACATGTAGAAATTATAAAATTAAAAATATAAAAAAAGCTGTTAAAGTGGTTTCATTGTTTTGTATCAGTACATTCTCTACAAAGGCATAATGTTTTGTTATTACAAAGTTTCATTTTTCTAGTTCTGTAACAGCATTTCCCTAAATAGTTAACTAAAACTTTTTCAACAACCTTCAGTGGTAGTATTTTCTGGAAACTGTACTACTGATTTTGCCATTTTTTAATTAATTGATGAAAGGAGCATTCTCACTGCATTAGAAGACTTCAGTTATATCCTCTTCATTTAGCATTTCTTTCCATATTTTGTAAAATTTAAAATTTTGCAGTATATTTCTGTTAAAGTCCTACAACTTGACACTGTTTTGTTTTGGCATAGTTCTTCGGTGCACATGCCACCAGTTTGATTTCACATCTTTCCAGATGCAATTAACAGTTTTTTTAACCTTTTTGGGGAGATAAGGAATGGACTTATATGATTTGGATTTGCAAGAGATGAATAAGTAGTTGTCATATTTCTTAAGGAAAGAAGTGTTCTATTCTGAGCAAAGAAAGGCTATGTTTGAATAATCACCTCATGAAATTAAACTGTGACTCAAAGACTAGATGCAGGTATTTTCTTGATTTAAACTATTCTGCAGATTTTACCATCCATTAATTCATCATTAATTGGAGCATTGTCACTGCAGGGGAAGACTTCAATTATATCAACTTCATTTAGCGCTTCTTTGCATATTCTGTTAATTGGAAGATTTAACGTTTTACTTGGACAGTAAATGCCTGGAATATTATATATAAGTGGAAATTTTAGAATTTTAGAAACTTTTCTTTTTAAAAACATAACAAACAGAAGACTTATAAAGACAACATAAAGCACCTATACGATAGTTGTCGCCGAACAGTGTGATTTAGTGCCTGTAATGGATGAACATGGTATCGCAATGCAATCACAAGGTCTTCACCTTGCTTTTATATAAACCAGATTAATTAATGTTAAGTTGGTTTAGTTTTTATAAAGAGGGATATAAGTTAGCTGCTATTTATCTGTTTTTTCTCTTGCATGTGTGACACCCACCAGCAGCTGAGCAGTAAAAGTTGCTGAATACTGGTAGTTCGTTGTGGGGTTGAATCTTGGTGAACAGGTTGACCACATGGGCATTTTTATGGTTATCTCAATAACATATTTATGAGCCAGTTTCCCTTAGAAAGTCCTCCATGAAGGCATCCCTTCTCTTAGACAGATAGCCGCAGTGTGTTTTACCATAACCTAATAAACCAACCAGCTAACCCTTGCATATGGGAGAGAGGATGATTAAAATATGCAATCTGTTTTCTATGAAACAGCTTGCAGTAAAGTATTTTTAAAATTACAAGATCTTGGCACCAGGAGAAGTGTACATTAATGAGCTTGATAAGCAACCTTATTTGAAAATGACCAAATAATGACAATGCAAATTGAGAAATTGGGATAAGTGACTAATCATTTTATGTGTTATATCCATAACTTGTATTTTTTAATTATCTTATTAAAAAATAAAGAACAATGCTCCTTTAAACTCCTGCTGGAACGATTTGTGCAAGTTTGGCAACATTGCCACCAACTTTCATGGTCAGTGGCATTTAGTTTGATATTCATGTTTATAAGAAATAAGTTGATAGTATTTATAATTTTAAACTGAAAATTTCTTCCATTCATTTTGCTTTTCTATAATAGGAACCTGCTCTTATATATACAGTCAAAAGTCGTTAATCTGGACTCGTCGGGACTTCAGCGATTCCGGATTATCGATTTTTCCGGATTATAGATCATCAGTTTAAATCAAGTAAGATGGCATGCAGAAATTCTAAAATTAAAAATATGAAACTGTAATTTATGAAATAAAGAACAATTATGATCTAAAGGGTATCAAAATTTACACAAAAAAAAGCTTAATATTTATTTGTTTACTTTATTAAACATTTCTTTCAATATAAATTGTTTAAGTTGCTTCGTTTTATGTGATAATACATTCTCTTTAATTCTATAAACAGACATAATTTCTTGTTCAGTTACAAAGTTCCGCTGTTCAAATCCTATAATTGCTGTGTTGAGAATACTGACTAATTTGTCAATCGAAATTTTTTCGTTTTCAATAACCTCTGTGTCACTTTCTTCGCTATTGGAAGCGAATTATAATGACGAGGAATTTGATTTAAATCATATCAGAGACAAAAGTACATCGAGACGAGATACTACATTTAGTAAGGAATTATAAGCCAAAATAAAATAAAAACATCTGCCCTGAAGATAAGGATAGTGCTGACAGATTAACTTCCAATTCATTGCGCGTCGCTGCGTCCCCCCCCCACAGAGCAGCGTGAAATTGTCAATTGAAATTTTTTCGTTTTCACTAACCTCTCTGTCACTTTCTTCATGCCTTTATCCATTTTTTGCAGCAATTCCACTTTTTGTTTGATGGACATGCTTTTCCTTTGTAGATCCTTTGGCAGCTCCAGAATCGGAAATTCTTTTTGACATAATCGAACGTTCAAGCTTACTATTTATAAAATTGCTCTAACAGTCTGCAAAAAACAATTAGCCAGATCCAATTTGAAGATTAAGGATCAACGCAATCTGCAACATTAACTGAATTAGATAATTTTAGCTTAGCTCATACTGTCCGTTATATATTAAACGCGCATGCGTAAACGTATTATGCGCATGCGCACACGCATATTCGCAGCCATAAAGGTCTTACGCGTCAACGCGATGCATGCGCAGAAAGTAATGGAGAAAAATTGATTTAAAGTCCATTTTCTTTTTCTTGAATATCTTAATTCTCCATTTCTACACCGTATGATAAAAAGCAAGTTTTCCAAAAAAAAAAAAAAAAAAGTGGGAGGGGGGGAATCTAAACAATAGATTATTCTGTTATTGGACATCTGGGATCTTTCAAAATTTGTATTGTATATCTTTATTCACAGTCATTTCTAGTTGAATTTGGAAGTATGACCGTAAGAATAAAAGCCAAGAATCTTTTGTGTTCATTGTGTGGAATTAATGATTATAATAGCTATTATTAACATATTTTGTTATTGAATTTTGTATGCAACTTTCAAGTTATCTTTCTGATAGAGAATTGTCATAAGGATAAATACCTGAAATAGTAAGAGTTTTTTTTTTAACCTTTCAGAGTGTCAGATGCTTGTAAAAAGAATAACCATCCAATTGTTGTACGGAACACGCACATGAGAAAATTTGAGCTTCAGCCATATTTGGATTTTGCAGCTGAATTTGATTATACTGTTATTATGGCAATTACAACGCATAAATTTAAAGTATCACCTGAGGTAAATATTTAATTGTGTATTTTATATTAATCAAAATGATTTTTTGTACTTTCTGATTATTTACACTCTTGACAATATTTGACTGAATTATTCTATTGTGGGCATATTTTTAAATGTCCATATGTCCATACCAGGAAGAGTATGTGTTAATTTATATGCTTTATATTTAAACAAACAGTATCCACAAGCTATAAAAGAGTAAATATATTTAAAAAAGGAGTAGAAAAAAGCGTTTTTTTTTTTTTTTCATAAAATTTATTAAATGCTTTTACTATTATTTATGAACAGAACAATAAACCTATGAGTAAAATTAGCCAAATAAAATTGTTTTCCAGCTAAGTCACAAATGAATTGTCGATTTGGATAATCGTAAAGCACTGATTTTTCTGATGATATATGCAAGAAACTATTTGTACGCCTATAAGCACATGAAGAAGCCTTTTGTGTCGCATAACAGACATGTACTATATCTCATAACTGGTTATTATTAAATTATAATTTTTTTAGAAGTTATTGACAAGTCTTAGATATTCATTAATAATTAGCAAAGGTTGCTTGTACAGTAAAAACTCCATTATCCAGCATTATCCACTAACCGTAAAGATCAAGTTACTAGAATCTTATAGAAAAATTTAGTGAGAGATTTTTAATGTCATTATAAAGCTCATATTAATATTAATGTGTACACAGTGTGATATAGTGCCAGTAATGACGTTTCAACACAATCATAACAAGTTTGTTTTGGTTTAAATTTAAACTAGGTTAATCCTCGATAAGCCAGCTTAATTTTTATGACATTTCATTAAAAAAAATTATTTAGTATTTAGGACTGCATGAAGTGGAGTATTTTCAAAGTTACAGGATCCAGATGTCCCCCGCCCCCGCCCAAAAAAAAAAACTTCATAATTCAGAATGGTACATGGTACATAATTCAGTACCAGGAAGTTTAAAGTTTCAAACAATTTTGATTCATAATAATGCATTTAAATAATGCATAAACTTTAAACTTCCCGGTATTGTTCCACTACGTAGACGATACATTTACCCTGTTTGAAGGTAATAAAGATGATTTAAATAAAGTTCTTTCAACAATGAATTCTATTAATCCTGCTATTCAGTTCACTTTGATATTTTTGAACTTGAGACTTGCAATTCTCTTCCATTTCTCGACATTCGGGTCACACATAACACATCCAACTTCAATACTATGGTTTACCGTAAACCTTCATCGGTTTGCCTTACACCACACATTAAATCATGTCATCCGACTAAACAAAAGTTAGCTTCATTTTATTCCTATGTTTTCTGTGCTGTTCATGTTTGCTCCTCCAAACTATCCCTTGATAAAGAACTAAATTATTTAAAAGCAATAGCTGTTGACAGGGGCTTTTCACCCGACATTATTAATCAAGCAGTTAAAAAATTCTTAAAAGAGTAAATATATTTAAAAAAGGAGTAGAAAAAAGCGTTTTTTTCTAAGCGTTTTTTTAAATTTGCTAAAACGTTGATGAGGACATTCAAGACTCGCCCAGAATGTAAACCAATGCCTAGAAACAGTCAACCAGATGGGAAAAAAAAAGTATATCTTAAAATAATCTCATCTCAACACACTAAAAAGCACACTCTTGTTTTAGGAGATTATAAAAATTCTGTTGTCATTCCCTTCTTTCCATCAATTAGCTATAAAGTTGCACATATTTTGCAGAAATTTCACTTTCGGGTCGTTTATTCTCCCATCAATAAAATTCCGAGTTCTATACTCAAGGACCCCATTCCGGATATGAATCCTGGTGTATTTATAAGATTCCTTGCTAGTGTGGTTTAATTTACATTGGCCAAACTAAGAGAGCCTTAAAATTTCACGTCAAGAAACATGAGGCATATGTTAGAAAAAAGGAAACACAGAAGTCTTCTGTTGCTCAACATTGTTGGTCCGAAAATCACACTTTCAATTTTTCTGCTGCCAAAATTATTCAAAAAACATCTTCCATTGGAGAACTGAATTTTCTAGAGGCATTTCACATTAAAAAAAATCTTTCTGTTCTAGTTAAAGATCCTAATTCCAATCCATCTTTGTCTTCGGCCGTTAAAGAAATTATGTTTTAGTTCTGGTTTCATCATCAGATGGCGCCACTAGCTTATTATCTGTCCAGGCTTTAATCTGATCATTATATCCTATCTCGTTCATTTGTGCTTTTGCAGCTGACGGTGGTGGTTCCGGTAAAACCATCGAAACTACCTTGAAAATTTGAAAATATAACGCTGATTTTTGTTGTTTGACTTCTGAATTAGTATTTATTCAACATGTTATTGTGTCTTAACTATGGTACATAACTTTGAAAACATATAAACAATAGCCATATAATGTGAAAAATTATGATAAGTAATTCAGTTTTTTTATGTGCCAATGAGTAATTTTCATCCCTTTATTATCTATCCAAATAGTTGTATTTATTTTAAACTTCTACTGGAATGATTGGTGATAAATTTTTATGTTCTGTGGGATTTCGTAACAGTTGAAATACATCACCTTTTATGACTGAAATGTATATTTTTTTCAAAATCTTATATAATTTTAAATGCAGGCTTTTAATATTCAAGATGGTAACAAAAATCATGATAGTTTTTTAATTTCAAAATGAAAATTTTTCCTTTTGATTTGTCTTTTTTAATGGGAATTCCATTTTCTATATGTTCATCTATCCAGAATTAGGTATTTCCTGACCTTTCCAGATAGACAATCTTTTGCTGTGCTGAAGTAGAAATTTGTTAATTAATTGAAATTCTCTTATGTGTTTTTAACATGATAAAGCTTATACTGAAAAAATGTGCTTTCGGCTCATGATATTCATTTTCTTAAAAAATTGTATATTTTACTGTGAAAGAGAAGTGATGTATAAGCAATTTTAGTTTACAACAAGTTACGGAAGTTTTAACTGTTTCAAATGTATTTAACATTCACTGTTAGTAGCTTCTTGATGTATCTCTCTTTTATTTATGTATAAAAAATGCCTTACAAAAACATAAATCTTTGAAATTGAAGAAAAAGTGATTTTGCAGGTTACATATTGGAAGCATGAATATTTTTGACATATTAAATATGTTTTACAGTGACATAGCAATAAGGAAAATACTGCAGATGTAAAAGAATGATTAAAAAAAGTATCTTGAGATTTTGCAAAGATGTTCAACATATAAAAGTCCATTATTTATTGTGGAATGCATTTGTAAGTTAGGCTATATCAATCAATATGATAAAGTTTACGAGTTTATGATTAAGTTTCTTTGTATGGCATATTTCTAAAATGCTCTAAAAATGACTTAATTTTTGAAACTGTTGGTGACAATATATTATTTACAACAATTTCAATGATGAGAAAACATTCATTGAGTTATAGCAGTGATTTCAAACTCATGGAACCCTTAGAGGTTTATTAGGGAACCCTATCAACCTTTAGAAAAAGTATATCTTAAAATAATATTTAAAACAGATCAATATGTTATAAGGTACTTTATGTTATAACTGCCACATATGCTGAGAAAGATTTTTCATTTAACATTGTCTTGAATGGCATTAAAATGTTGATAGCTGAGTGAGAAACTTCTAGGTATTCTGCATGAATCTGCAACCAAAAATTTAGGAGCTGCTTTTACTTAAAAATTTGCGTTTTAAGATTGAATTTGCTAAAACGTTGATGAGGACGTTCAAGACTCGCCCAGAATGTAAACCAATGCCTAGAAACAGTCAACCAGATGGGAAAGACATGCATTGTGAAATGGATACCTGCATATGTTGGAATTGATGGAAACGAGGTAACTGGCTAAAAAAGGCAAAAATCTCAACAACTCAATCCTACATCACTTTAGAGGATGCTAATACCATTTCCAGACATAGACTCAAAAGAGAAATCAATTAAGAAAGACTGTCAGATATGCGATGTTGGTGAAAACGTAGAAATTGCAAAGACCATTACTAGATCGAGAACCTGCAATTTTAGAGGAATATTGAAGATGGTAACAGGTCATGTAGAATTTGTAGAAACTACCCCGAAACGGAGCTTTCTCGAGAACGCACCTTTACCTATCCAGCAATACTTGCAGCTCTCCAAAGCTTGGGGAAATTTCCTTTCCAAGGAGAGCTGTATAATGGAAAGCTGTATATTTCTTTTCCAAGGAGACAGTGGAACTAGCAAAAGCAGTAATTTCCAGGCATAGATCAATTTGGCTTATCAAAGGACAGGACACCAACCAACCATAAGTTTTTCTCTTTCCTTCATTGGCATACTTGAACAGATTTTTTTATGCAGTCATACTTAGTTTTTTTCTTCTGAGAAATATTGTCTTGTCGTTTTCTTTAATGGGAAGAGTTGCACCATTATATAATTTTTAAGAATTTTATTTTCTATTAGAAAATTGTTTAGTTTTTGCAAAGGATTGCATGTCGTCTTCTTTAACATATGATGATATATGTTAAGTTTTAAAACCAGTGCATTGATTTTTTTTTAATTATTGTAATATGTATATTCAGTCCTTGAAGGATATGTTTATTTCATTTAGAACATTGGCAGCTCAGGCAGGAAACTCCTGATTAATTTTCGAAGATGTTTCAATATTTTTTAGTTAATAAACACTTGTCAACTTGGGTGGATGTTTTATAATTTTCTTTTTAAACTTGTATTGTGGCCTGCAAAACCTTCCACTTGTGCAGAAACACAGTTTGAACAATACACATTTTGTAGTCGAAACCGAAGACATTTTAGAGTATTGGGACTGAGCCCAAAATACCCTTTGCTCAGTCTTTGTTGAGATCAATGAATTACAGATAATAAAGCTGTAATTCACCAGAAATTTTCTCGAAAGATGGGATAACAAATACTGCTTAAAGCTATTGCCTTTCACTAGGAACAATTAAAAGTAAGTATGATTTTTAGCTATTAAAATGGTTATTATGTGCAGAAGAACAAAGCCTAATCTTTTGTTTGCTAGCAGAAAAGTGCTGG